GTTATTCGTAGGTTATTTGTACGTTATTTTTAATGTATTGTTTTGTTAATTCTGAAGTAATGCGTAGGTTTTTTTTAAGTTATGAGTAGGTTATTGCTAGGTTATTCCTGACTGATTTTGAGGATATTTTTAAGTTATTTTTAGGTTATTCCTAGATTATTCCTGGGTTATTTTTAAGTTATTTGCAGGTTTATGTGCAGGTTATTCATATGTTATTCCTATGGTATTTTTAGGTTATGTCAGGTTATTTATACGTTATTTTTAGTGTATTGTTTTGTTAATTCTGAAGTAATGCATAGGTTTTTTTTTAAGTTATGAGTAGGTTATTGCTAGGTTATTCCTCGCTGATTTTGAGGATATTTTTAAGTTATTTTTAGGTTATTCCTAGATTATTCCTGGGTTATTTTTAAGTTATTTGCAGGTTTATGCGCAGGTTATTCATAGGTTATTCCTAGGGTAATTTTAGGTTATGTCAGGTTATTCGCAGGTTATTTGTACGTTATTTTTAGTGTATTGTTTTGTTAATTCTGAAGTAATGCGTAGGTTTTTTTTTAAGTTATGAATAGGTTATTGTTATGTTATTCCTAGCTGATTTTAAGGATATTTTTTATTCTCAGGTTATTTTTAGGTTATTCCTGAGTTATGTTTAAGTTATTTGCAGGTTTATGCGCAGGTTATTCATAGATTATTTCAAAAGTATTTTTAAAGTATTGTGTGTATGTTATTCGTGGGTTATTTGTTAATGTAGTCTTAGGGTATTCCAGTATTAATAACAGTATTAATAACATGCATCTTATTCATGTATATTGATGACTAAAATTCTTTGGTTATTCCAGTGTTAATAACATGCATCTTATTCCTATATGTTGATGAATAAACAGTCAATGAATTGTAGATGCCGACCATCAGCAGTTAGATAGGTGTTGGATAAGGTTCGGCCAATTGTTGATCGGGAGATGTGGTCCTCTGGAAAGAATGAAGCTTAATCAGTTTTTTGATTTAGTTGTAAAGAGAAAGAAGCTGGAAGAAGTTCCGTCCTCAAATATAGATGATTTAGTACAGCATATTTATGA